TTTTTTTTGGTTGTATTTTCTTATTTAATCAATTACTTGTTGTTGTAGTTTGTTCTGTAGTTGATGCATCTTCTTGTTTATTTTTTATTTCTGCAACACGACGATCAATTTCAGCTTTCATTACCCAAAAACGATCCATTAAATTATGACCAACTGCACTTGCTGTTTCAGCAAAATTATTTAAATGTTTTGGTAAATCTTTAAACACTTGTTCAACCATAATACCTTGAAATAGAAATATATTTTATTTTTAATCAAATTTTAATTTAAACATACTATATTCTTTTCCATAAGGTTGTTTAAGATGATGACCGGCTAAATCAGGTAAGATTGTTGCTAAATAGAAAAATAAAATTTATACAAATATTAAAAAAATAAGTTTAAATTCAAACTCACCAACAATAACACCGGAAACAAAAACAAATGTATAAATACATATAGACCAACAAAATGAACGTCCTTTAGGTTTATCACCTTTTCCTGTTGACGTGCCAGTGTGTGGTTTACTTTTTGTGTCTTTTGCCTAAAAAAAGATGTTCTTTTGTTTTTATTAAAATAAAATTAAATAAATTTTACCATGATGACAATAAGAAAAAAAAATAAATGAAATATGAAAATCTGAAATAATCAACAACAAAAAACAAAATGATCACGATTATTACTTGGTTTTTTTTGTTTGCTTTTAAAAAAATCCGAGGTCATTTATCAGTCAGTAACATACACAAAAAATGTCGACGACGACAGAATTATTATTGAGTTATGTAAATGGTTCGTCATATGATCCAATGAAAGTTAATCATGAATCATTATGCCATATTTAGACGAATGTAATTACAAAAAAAAAGAAATTCGTTTTGCATCTGTTTCATTTTTAAATACTAAACAAATGGCTGATAATGATTATATTGAAGAATTTAATATTACAGAAAGTGATTTAGATTCTGCTTTTAATCCAACACGTCGACGAGGACGACAAAGTAAAGAAGAAGCTATTTATGGTAAGATTTAATTTTTGATTAAATATAGAAATCTTAATAAATAATTATATCAAATAGGTATTTGGGCAACAGCAGCTGAACGAGCATCAAATCGTCCAACAACATCATCATCATCATCATCCTATAGTCGAACATCTCAAGGAATATCATTTGTTAGTGGTGGTGTTAAATTAGGATCAAAAATTGAAAAGAAAAAATCAAAAACAAAACCAATTATAATTGAAAGTTATGATAGTGATGAAGATAGTGATGAAAAACTTGATGATGAAGAAAATGATGATGATGATGATATTGAAATAATTGAAAAAAGAAGGAAACGACGTCATGATATTAGTGATGAAGATAATAATAGTGATATTGAAGAAGAACAAGATGAAATTAATCAACCAATTGGATCCGTAAGATAAAAAACTTTAATTTCAAAATCAAAAAAATAAAAAGAATTTAATTATTTTAGAGTGATGAAGAAATTGAAACACCAATTGTTCAACGTCAACCACCAAATGTTCAATATCGACGACCACCACCAACAAATACAGCACCAGTTCATGACAAGTATAAAATTATCTATTTCCTTTTTTTTTTTTTATTAAAATTATCTATTTTGGTTTTATTATTATAGAGATTTTGGTGCATTTGAAAAACATACAAGAGGTATTGGTATGAAGTTATTAGTGAAGGTATGTTTTATTGATGATTATCTTACTTAAAACTCTATGAGAAGAAATGATTTTATTTTTTTCAAATTTATAATTCATAGCAATGAGAAATAATTTCATTTTGCAAATTAAAATTTCATGCATATTGATTGTTTTTTTTTTGTCTTCTCATATATAAACTAATAATGAAATATTTAGATGGGCTATAAAAAAGGTCATGGTTTGGGAAAAGATCTTCAAGGTCGAGCTCTACCTATTCAAGTTGTTAAACGTCAAGGTAAAGGTGCAGTTGGTCGATATGGAAATGAAGATCCAAATCGTATTAAACCTACTGAAGGTAATTTATATATTTTTTTCTCTAATTTCGAAATTAATTTAATTTTCTTTTCTTTTCATAGCATCTGAAATCAGTGAATCAACACGAACATCGAAAAAAAATGCTGGTCCTAGTGCACCACAATGGAGAAAACAACAACGAGAAGTAATATAACTTTTTTTTTATTCTATTAACAAAAAGAAAACATACTGGTTTTTTTTTTGTTTTATTTAGAAAGTACCTAAAGAACAATATGTTTATAAAACTTTAAATGATGTATTGAAAGAACAAACAACTAAATTTCATAATAAAAAATCTAGTGGACAAATTCGAGAAAAAATTATTGATATGACTGGACGTGAACAACGTATTCTTCAAAATTATGAATCTATAACAACAAAACAATTTGATAATGAACAAGTATTTTCATTAAGTGAATTAACACATAATCTTGATTTAGTTATTGAATCATGTGAAGAATCAATGATTCGTTCACATCGAAGGTAAGAGAATATTATTAAGAAGTTTTGTTATTCTTATGAAATTTAAATCTCATTGTCAAGAAATCATCAAACATAACACAAATTATGAAATAAAAAAAGAAAGAATAGAATCGGAATCAAAAGTCTTTTTCTTTTTTTTATAATAATTACTCTAATTTTTAGTAATTTAGTAACTCAAAGTGATTGTTGAGTAACTGATTGTTCGACTTTAAAATTTTCCTGTATGCTCAAATAATTAATCTATGCAAGTACTCGTTACAAATGCCCGAATACATAAGACAAGTTTCATATCAACTTTCTAGTACATATTTCTTTGTAGCTGAATGTTTTTCCGGACCCTCGACTGGAAAATTATCAAACTATACAAATATTTTAATTTCAGTATTTTTACTAGAATAAAATCATTTGTATTTCACTAAATTAAACTCTAAAATTAAACAAATACCTTATTTACTTATATCTATAAAAAGAGTAACAAAAGATTTTCTGTCGCTATTAGAAATTTATTTTTATGCATTGTGTCTAGTAATATTACTAATTATAATAAAAAAAACAGAATATAGAAATTTCTAAAACGTATACATATGGTATTTCTTTAATATAACGCTCATTCACGTTATTTTTCTTCCTTGGATATAACTCCGAGGTTAATTAATTCATCCATTATTTATATATTTCACACACAAAAAAATACAGTGGAATATCGATTAGTGAACATCTCCCATTGTAAACAAAGTCTCAGTCGTATGAAGCGATTTTTGCTAGAAATTCTGAACTTGAATATGGCTTTTATAGTTGTAATTGCTATTTTAATCTCTTCTAAATGAACACAAGACTCTATTAGTAAAGAAACTTTTTTCTTCGTTTCATAGTAAAATATATAACGCCTCTCCATATTGAAAACTTTTCAAAAATCCAGCATTGGTTCAAACTTTCGAAAAATGAAATTTTAGAAGTTTTGGAGATTTCAAGAATATGTGTTCTGAATTGTAGGTTACTTCTTAAAATGATGTAATTTCCAAAATTTCTGTAATTATGTCATTACAGAAATTTTCAATGTCTAAAAACTTTTAATTTGCACTGCTGTATAGTTATCGAACTGATGGAGATTTCAGAAATTTGTGTAGTTCCCTTTTTTCGAAATTTGAACATACCTCGTTAATTATTTTCTAAGATTTTTTAGAATAAATTATTTGAAAAATTTTCATCCTTTTACATTGATAATTCTAATTTGACATTTTATTTTAGACGAAAATTTGATGAAGATACAACAGTTGCATTAAAATACGATTTAAATTATACACAACAAATGATGTCGGATGAAGAAATAAGTATCAATAGAATAAATATTCTTTTAAATATGATTAATCAGTAAGTAAAATTTAACAACAAACAAAAATGATTTATTAAAGAATTTTTAGATGTGAACAATGTGTTAAACAAATTCAAAATATTTCTGATTTATTTTTTCTACAACGAATTTTTGAAGAACTTAAAAATAATTATGAAAAAGAATATAAAAAATATCATTTATGGGATTTAGCTGTTCCTGTTTTACATAGTCATTTAAAACAACATCTTTCCTTACATTGGAATATTTATAATGATGATCATGAATTAATTGATTTATTTTCTAAATGGAAACATATACTTGAAGATGATACTATTGATTTAACAATAGATAATTCAATACAATCAAAAGAAAATATGGATCCATATCATCGACTTATATGGGATGTTTGGATGCCATTTTTACGAAAATCTATTCTGTAAGAAAATTTTTAATCGAAATATAAAAGTTATTTTATTATATTTTTTTTTTGTCATTATTGTAGTGAATGGAATCCACGTCAACCTGATCATTTAATTGATTTTATTGAACAATGGTTACCATATTTACCACAATGGATAATTGATAATATATTTGATCAACTTATTTATCCAATACTTCATCGTGAAGTTGATGCATGGAATCCATTAACTGATTCAATACCTATACATTCATGGCTTCATCCATGGTTACCATTAATGAAAGATCGTCTTGAACCACTTTATCAACCAATTCGTACAAAATTAGCTCAAGCTTTAAAAAATTGGCAACCATCAGATTCATCAGCTAAAGCTGTTCTTCTTCCATGGCAAAAAGTTTTTAAACAGGGCACATGGGATGCATTTATGAATCTACATATTGTACCAAAATTAGTTTCAACAATGCAACAATTTATTATTGATCCTCGACAACAAGTTTTAGGTATTAAATAAAATCTTTTCTTTTTTTTGTTTTGTTTTTTGTATTGAATAAATATTATTTATTTAGATCCATGGAATTGGTTTATTGCTTGGTATGATATGGTACCATTACCAAGTATGATTGCAATATTAGAAAAAAGTTTTTTTCCAAAATGGCTTCAAGTATGTTATTGTTTTTCTTTTTCTTAGAAAAAAAATTGATCATTGGATGATTGTTTTTTTTTCTCTCCTAGGTACTTAATGTTTGGTTAAATACAAATCCAAATTATCAAGAAATTCATCGATGGTATAGTGGTTGGCGTTCATTACTTCCACAAGCAATTATTAATCATACAGTAATAAAAGAAAAATTAACAGAAGGTTTAACAATGATTGATCGACGACTATCAGGAACAGTTAATATTCAACAAACATTACCAACACCACCACCTCCACCTCCACCTCAACCATCTGTAAATGTTAATTATGAAGTAAGATTTTTGTTATACAATGGATTTTTCTTTTTTTAATTCATTTTATTTATCTGATATTTTAGGCAATTTATAATCGTGGTGTTGCAACATCATCATCAACAGTTGTTTCATCATTTAAAGATCTTGTTGAAAAGAAAGCTACTGATCATAATCTATTGTTTTTACCTATATCAAATCGAACATTTGAAGGCAAACAAATTTATCAATTTGGAAATGTTAATATATATATTGATAAAAATGTCTTATTTCTATATGAAAATAATCAATGGATACCATTACGTTTAAATGATCTTATTCAGAAAGCAATTTAACTTATATGTTCAGTGTCGTTTATTTTCTTTTTCTTTTTTTCTTGTCATTGTTGTTGTTTTGATGAATTGCTGTTTTTTGTAAATGTCCTCATGCGAAGAATTTCTTTTGTAAAAATGAAATTTAACAACATTTTCATTTATCTGATATTCAGAGAAAAAAAAAAGGAGTAGGACTACACATATTTGACATCTTTATTATATAAATTTGATTATCGAAACTAACAAACTTAGACAATGCAGTATAATTGTATCGATATTTTTAAAGTTAATAAAATCGTTGTACTTATGATTACAATTCATTTAGGTAATATATAACACACTCTTTTTACAAAAAAATTAACAATATTTGTTTGTTTATCTTGAATAAAATTAAAGTACATTGCAGAATTTGACACTGGTCTTGTTTTTGCTACTTTATCTAAAACTAATATCCGTTTCAAAATATAAGAGTCGTGACTGTTTTTTGAATAACTTTACCTAGGAATGTGATAGAGACCTGCCGTTTTAATCATAGATAGAGCAGAGTTGGCCTCATAATTCCACGTGAAAACGAGAAAGATCCTATTATGTAAAGGTACCAATAGGCCTAGTGC